GGTAATGGTGAACGAGCATGTGCTGGAGACTGTTGACCAGTTCACGTATCTTGGCTCAACAATCAGCAGTGACCTGTCATTAGTTAAGGAGATCCAGACTCGTATCGGCAAAGCCGCAACGTCTTTCAGTCGTTTGCGCTCAAGAGCCTGGAGCAACAAATACCTCACCAAGCGCACTAAGACACGCATCTACCAACGTTGCGTGGTCAGCGTCCTGCTGTATGGTTCCGAGGCGTGGTCAACTTACGCGCGGCACGAAAGAGAGCTAAATGCTTTTCACATGCGGTGCCTGCGCAACATCCTCGGGATCACATGGCGGGACAAGGTCACGAACGAGGCGGTGCTGGCGAGTACGGGCAGCAAGTCAATGTTCCAAACACTGAAGGTCAGGAGGCTGCGGTGGCTCGGTCACCTTCGCAGAATGCCAGATGGCCGCCTGCCAAAGGACATCTTATACAGCGAGCTGAGCGCTGGTTCCAGAGGCAGAGGACGACCACTGCTGCGCTTCAAGGATGTCGTAAAACGTGACATGAGGGCCCTGGACATTGCGACGGATAACTGGGAGAGGCTGGCGGAGGACCGGACGAAGTGGCACCAGCAGCTGCGCGAAGGTGGTGACAGACTTGACAAAGACTGGATTCGTGGACTTCCTCAAAAACGTGGACATACTGTATCTCTCTGATTGCACTGTACAATCTCTTGTAGATTTTTCTTGCCAATAAACTCGCCATGTATTTGTATTCATAATCAAAGTTAATGGGAGAAACAATAGATCATGAACAATTAATTGTTTTCATGGATGATGAAAGTTGTAGGTGTTCAGATTTATTAGCTCATATTTTAACTAGATGATACATCTTTTTATTTTATTTTATCAACAGTAGGAGTGATGTACTTGAGTGTAATCCGTCATCTCTGTGCACTTCCCTGAGGGCTAATGATTTTGAAGGATGATCAGGTGGTCGCTCCCTGAGGATTGAGGAATTGTCAAATAAGAGATTTGGGATGCAGCAATAGTCAATGTGCAACTACTGGCAACAGGAAGTCCATCAAAAGATCACAGAAAAATGACATTGTGTCTATGTATATATATATATATATATATATGTATACAATGTTAGCCATAAAGTTGGAATAATTTAGTTTTCAGACACTTTCCTATTTTTATTCCTATTTAATTTTCACTGTGATATGTTTGAAAGAGATTGATCAATAACGTTTTGAGAAGATACACTATCTATCAAGAATAAATCAAATTGTCCCAATCATTAAATGAGAAGCGGTAAAAAATATTTTATTCCAACTTTTTGGGCAACAATGTATATAAATATCTAAATTGTCTCACCTCTGCCCACTTGGATTTCTTCTTTTCATTTTCAAATTTTCTGAATTCTTTTATGTCCTTCATGTAGATGAGTAGCTTGATGAGCATCAGCATCAGGATGCCAATGAGAGCAACAGATGCAATGGAGCCCCCGATGATAGCTATGACACTGGGGGGCTCCGGACAGTCTGGAGGAACAGGGAGAAATTAGGCTACAGAAAGATTTACTGATATCGGAAAGGACAGCCTATATCAAAAATTATGAATTGAAGAATAGAGTATGTCTGCTGACATGTGAGTGTTTATTTTGGCCGGCTTGTTGGTCAGTCGGCATACCACTTTGGACTATTTGAACTATTTTGTGTTGACATGAATGGTCCTCGGAGAGTGAATCCTAAAAACTATGATAATCCTCTGACTAACTTATATAAAAACTAGTTGCAATGTGATAACTTTAGTGATCCTCTGACTTTCCATATTGCTTCATATTCATGAACAAATACCTGCAAAACTTCCCATCAGCCTGTTTTTGTGTTTAGTGCTTACTAGAAAAATATTAGCATGTAAGAACATAATAAACATTATAGTACACCTGCTGAAAAGCATAATCATTTTGAGCATGTTAAAATGCTGTGTCTAGCATTTAGTTAAAAGCACCGCTGTGTCTACAGCCCCACAAACCTGCTAACAACTTTAGTCTTGTTAAATGTTTCCAAATAGCATACAATAGTACTTAAATGTAAGAGTTTGATAGCTCTGAAGAATGTTCCACACATTATGAGCTGCTCACCTCTCTGTTTGATAATTTCAGCCTTGTAGTGATCTTCTCCGACCAGCTGGTCCAGTTTGTACTTGATCCAGCATCCCTCCGTGTCCTTCTGCTGGCACTTCTTGCTTTGTATGGTGAACTTATCAACCATCTCGTGATAAATGCTTTTGCTGCAAGCCACACTGCAGTTTTTTCTAAAGGGACCGGACTCAAAGCCAAGGCATTCAATGCAGTTCCTGAAAACAAGATTATTTTTAAATTCATAAAATGTTTCCAATTGTTTAAACATGCCATCATTTAAAACATGTTTGCTAAACTTACATTGATTGGATAAGATATAACATGTTGAAACACAACAGTAAAACAAATGTTCAGATTATCTTTCTGGGTAGATACTGATGATATCAGCGAAGAACTACAAAAAAGTAACATCACAAACATTTATTGTAATAATTACCCAACAAAACGTTAAGCTAATCAATGTTCTTTATGCTGCACCATCTTCCCACAAAAACAGTTTAAATCACCCGGGGCATTTTCGCAGCTTCGACATATTATTGGAATGATTTATTTTTTAAATGTGATAGGTTTAGTAGAAGTTTACATCCTTACAGTTTGGTCTGGCAGGGATCTAGGCAGCTGAGGCATTTTTGGCATCGTGGATGCTGGTATCCCCCCTTACACTCACAGCGGTTACACTTGCAGGTTCCTCTGTTGTAGCACACAGTGTTGTTGAGGGTCCGACAGCCCTCCTCAGACACCTTACACTGACAGGCTGAACCTTCGTAGCCTGAAAAGCATTCACAGCTGCCACAATTGCATTTACCGTTTCCTACAAGTAGAGAAATGGAGAAAATAGTTAAAGTACATTTGCAGTATGTCAAATAATAATGACCTGTGTCACTCAGAGCCTATAGGTACACAACATTGTGAGTGACAGGGAGATCCCATTGGGCAGAATGTGGGAGGTGTTGGTAGTTCTATAACTATATCTTGTAAAAACATTTCATGAATGCTATGTCTTTATGTTAAAACAAATATTGGGGTTTTCTTGGTACTTTGCTTTATGCTTTACAAATGATTTATGAGAAAGCAAATGCAATTTACCCATATGTTAGGTCTTAGAGATACAAAGTGTTTTGATGAAAGTACCTATAGGCTATCTGGTAAAACACACAATGAAAAAAGTTATGATTTTGGAAAATTACTAAAACTCTACCTCCACATAGTTTATTCTGGAACTTCTCACAGTGTTCATCGTCACACTCGCAGAAGTCACCATGGTAACTACTTCCACTCTCTGTGGTGTGGCACTGGCACCTGCCACATACACAATCTCCTCGGCCCTCACACTCGGTGCCGTTGTCCCTCTGACAGGATGCTCGCAGCGTGACCTCGTCTTTTTCCCCAATAGAGCACTCGCAGAACTGACCAATGGAGCCTTCACTGCAGCTGAATGAGGACAAGTCGGAGAGCAACAACACCTTAATTACAGGAACTATTTTTACGTTTTGGTATAAGCGGTATGCTGTTTGGAAACATTTACCAGGCTCAAGTTTGTGGGGCTGTAGACACAGCTGTGCTTTGAGGTAAATGTTAGAACCAGTATTTTAACATGCTCAAAAATCACAATGATGTTCAGCAGGTGTAATGTTTATGATGTTCACACATGCCAACATTTGCTAATTAGCACTGAACACAAAGACAGCTGAGGCGGATGGGAAGTTTTGCAGGTCATGTAGTTTACAATTTTGAAATAAACACAATCCCTTGAAATGCCACACTGAATGGTTCCTTTAAGTTTCCGTGATTATGAAGGGACACTAATGCATTGTTGGGGACTGCAGTTCTGTGGGTCTTCCCATTGACTCTCACAGTTTGTAGATAGGGTCCCTGCCAATATGTAGTCACTTTGACATCAAATTTAATCTGGAGGGATAGGGTTGAAGAGGTGTAGTATAGGCTATTTTATGACATTTACTGAAGTTTGTGGGCATATTTAACATAAACCTCTTCAGTTTTCGATCTGGATAGTAAAATTCTTTGATGGATGAATGGTTCATTTCTCACTACATTTTTTTTAAATTCCAAGTTCCTGTAGTGGCATTATGATCATATTTACGGGCAGGGGCAAACGCGTTGCATGTGTTATACAAAAAACACAGCAGATCTGAAATATGATCGGAAACATGTGAAGATATTGTTAAAAATAAGCTGATAAAACATTTTAGGTAAGTTTCCAACAACGGAGACAGTTGTCCAGCTTTACAATCCTGCACATCTCCAAGCGCTCTGGTCCCAGCTGTGTGCGTCACTTTTTAGTGTCCCCTGGTCTCCCAACTGTGTGCGTCACTCTTTAGTGTCCCCTGGTCTCCCAGCTGTGTCCGTCACTCTTTAGTGTCCCCTGGTCTCAGTTGTGTTTTGAGCTTCTTGCAGCGTTTTGTATTTGCAGCGTTTGGTTTCTGCAGCTTTTAGTAAACGCTGCGCACGTTTCCTCAAGTTGCTGAAGATGTTTCTTCATTTGCATGTATTATAGCACATTTGTGTTTTTTTATTTGCATTGGTTTTGAAACTGCAGCGCGTTTCTCCTTACGTTGGGCTGTTTTAATGTACAGTATTTGCCCATATCGGCCACCATACTTATCATATTGAACATACAACCTAAAGGGCCTTCTACATGTAATCATGTCAATATGTGTTTGGAGTTGTGGTGGGAAGGACTCTGCACAAACTGCTCTCCATGACTGATTATCCTGACCACCCTCTCCACCAGCTGCTGGACACACAGCAGAGATTATTCTCCACACACTGACAGGACAGATAGAGGAAATCTTTGCATCTGGAATAACCCTCCACAAGCCTCCCCTATGATTAGCAGAGAACTCACAGCTTCATAGTCTGTCGTTTATTTTTGACTTTATTTTCCAGTCTATGTTTTCATTGCAATAACCATAAACAACTTGTACATGCTTACTCACACTGCTTCACTGCATTTATTTAAATACATGCCAATTTACCGTCAATGTTTACGAGTTGTAAATCTTACCTGCAAATACCACAGCTAACTCTTCCCGTGCCGTTGCAGTGTGGGTGATGGCTGTCCTGTGGGTCTTTACAATCACACTCACAGTTTGAAGATAGGGTCACTGTCAATGTGTCTTTAATTCCCAGTGGTCTTATGGTGAAAGACTTGTCTTCAACACATGTGTCTGCTGTCACTGTGACATCAAAATAAATCTGGAGAGGGAAGGCAGGGTTAAAGGGTCAGAGCTGTAAAATATGTATTGTGACACTTTAAATATATAAAAAACACACACTGGTTTTAATGGTAAACTTGTGAAAGCTACATTCTTGATCCCCCCTTGTACTTATATTCATTTCAATGGAACTCTCCCTTCCAGCTTCTTTACTTTTTACAGTAATTTGTCTTATGTCTTAAGTGCCTTTGTACATGCCTCTTTACCAAAGTCTCGTTGGCTGTTGGCTTCAGATGAAAAGTGCCTTTTTACCACTAATAAAAAAAAACAGATATATTTGAAAGTTAAAGCAGCACGGACGTATTTCTTTCCTCCTGGTAATTCAGGACTGGCGGTGAAGATATTTCAGGTGAAATGTGCTGCAACAAGTTTCTCAACCCGCTTAGCTCGCTTCCCCCGTAGAGACTGCACTGACAGCATTATATGGGGGGGTCGCTTTAGGTGCGCGCACTGCTCCAGTGTTGTAGTAAAGTCACCAATTCACGAATCCAAGTCACTCTCGAGTCAACACTCTTCGAGTCAGAGTAGTGGCGAAGTCAATAGGGAGTTGGCTTGGCAACTGGAAGGTAACCAGTTCAAGTCCCGGCAAGACCAAGTGCTACCGAGGTGTCCCTGAGCAAGGCACCGTTCCCTACACTGCTCCCCAGGCGCCGTTCCAAATGGCAGCCCACTGCTCCTAACACTAGGATGGGTCAAATGCAGAGAAACAATTTCCCCACGAGGGATTAATAAAAGTCCATCTTATCTTATCTTTAGTCCGAATCACCGAGGGAGGGTCGTAGTCGAGTCCGAGTTCAAGTCCGAGTCACCCAAGGAGTGTCCGAGTCGAGTCCGAGTCCAAGTCCGAGTCACCCAAGGAGTGTCCGAGTCGAGTCCGAGTCCAAGTCCGAGTCACTTAAGAAGAGTCCGAGTCTAGTCTGAGTCAACAGTCTTCATGTATTAATCTTCTTGGATATATGTGTTGAAATGTAGCTGCTCCTCTACATTGCTTTTATCCTGTCATGTTATACTAATCTATCTATTGAACTGCTGTTAAGCGAGTTTGGCTACAATTCTTAGGTGCTATACAAATATAAAGCTTATTACTAATATTATTATTATAATTATTATTATTGTAAATGACCTTTAATATGTCTAACTATATTTAAAATGAGTTACCTTTTAGAGAAG